ATTATGAGCCAGGGCAATAGCACGATAAATGGGCTAATGCGCCACACAAACATAGCTGCTAACGAGACCATACATGTATCAAAGAACGTGACAAACATGACACAGACACCGTATGCGTTACCCAGAGATGTCGTCTACACCTAGTTAGCTTTGGTATTTTACCATGGGACACCAAGACGTACATTGTTGTAGATGGAAGCTATAAGTATTGTACCAACCATAAGAAGCCAATTCGCTATTGGGATGTAAAGCTGGCCATGAAAGATGTCGGAGGTATGGATGACTTTAATCTGCGGAAAGTACGACAGTTTCATCACTTGCGTAAGGAGCTGATGGGAGGGTTAGCGACAGGTTTTGAAAAAACCGGTTATCGTCTTACCTGAAAGGTTGCTGTTATAATGGCCTGAGAGGCAACAACAGCAGCTAGAATTGCAATGACCAACGCAGGATAGACAGTGCCCGGTGGTGCAGCTTTAAAAAAAGGATTTGAATATGCTTCCGGATGTACACTTATATACGCTGCTTGTCCGATATAAGCCAAGAGTAAGCATGGAAAGGCGCAGCCTAGCCAGCTGATCTGTATGGCTCTTCTGCTGAAGGCTCCGATATCTGCGAAGAGAGCCTCAACACCAGTGAAAGCGAGCAACGTTCCACTAAGCATCCTCCAACCTTCCTCGCCATTTCGGGCCAGGAAACTGAAGGCGTACCCAGGGTTGAATGCTATGAAGACACCAGCGTCATAATTTGCAAGGTTATATATGCCAAAAGCAGCGTTGAAACCGAGCCATATGATGACAATAGGTGCAAAGGCAAATGTAAGCTTGGTAATGCCAAGCGGTTGAATTAGGAACAGCACGACCAGGATAGCATCGGTAACTCCGATAATGGTGCCTTTCGAAATGTTGGGCGATACTACTTCAATCCCTTGAACAGCACCTAGCACTGATTGAGCTGGGGTAAGGAGACCATCTGCAATGACCATGGTAACCGCCAATACTCCCATGACTTTGAGGAGGCGTTTGGCAATGCTGCTTGACTCAAGTCGATGGCGCACATGCCTGCTTGTTGGTTCAAGGTCATCCGTCAAGTATCTTTTCATTTGAACAAGAGAAGCCTCTCTTGGGTCACGGTGGGTAATGTTCATCTAGGGATGCGAGGGTCAGTGCCTACCAATGGGAATGCAATCCTAGGGAGTCTCACATAACGACTCAGCAAGGAATATGTGCTGAATGTACCTCCTTCGCCATCATTATCTGCTCGAAGAATAACTAAAACATACTTGACCGTCACCATCATGATCAAGCTCCAGATAATTATGGAGAGCACCCCGATGAGGTCTTGACGGGAGGGTGCCTCACTGAATGTTGACGAGTAAACATAAAGAGGACTGGTACCAATGTCTCCGTATATAACACCAATTGACTGATAGGCGAGCCAGAGAAGCATTCTTCCTCCGAAAGCCTGTGGATGCTTAGTATGGTGGCCAATTCCCCCCGTGTGTCTCGTACCTGAGGTTGTTTGTAATCTCCTGGCCTGCGTAGGCCGGGGTCCTCATCGGCCTCGCCCAGTGTGCTTACCGCACTCTGGAGTCTATCCAAAGGAGTATTCCAGGGCCGGACATTGTATACGTCATCGTGTGGTTGCTGTGTATCATTTTCCAGACTCTTCTGTACTATAGCGCCTTTTTCGAAATCTCGGTTCTCGTCCATCCCAGTGTAGGGAGCGGCTATTCGTTAGATTAGAAAGAGATTATTGCTCTTATCGATATCTCGATTGGCTGGCAGTGAGGTTATGTTAACAAGCAAGCATTATTGAAGAGGTGGGGAGGGTATTGTTAGGAGAGAGGAAGATAGTGACTGACATACATCTGTTCTTTTTGCACGGGAATACTAGATTTGTTCGACAAAGGTTTTACCCGAACTCTAGTTTAACGTCTTTCCAAAGGGATATGAGTGAGTACCAGGCAACGTCTGCTATAGTAAATCACAACATATGCTGCTCAAGAGAGTAATCGACCCAGCCAGCCTTATATGCATATGGAGGCGATATCTTTATCTCTAGGAACTCGCTGCAAGCTAAGCCCAATATGACAGCCGTTCGTATAATGGCGATAAGGTAATTACACTGCAGGGATCTTCGTTCTACATGGGTTGATGTTCTGGCCAACGGGGGACTCAGCCCGTCTGCGGGATTTATCACCACCAATAGCCAAATCAGCCTCGCGATAATTTCCACCTCAAAAGCTAGGTATAATGCTGGGGTTATTCAATCAAATTTGCTAAGGCTATCTATCCTGTAAGATAATGGAGTGACGCAAGTGAGATGTCAACAGCCACGTGCTGGACCTGAGCGAGAATACCGCGCTCTCAATGTATGTACATACAGCGGGATCGGTTGGATTCTGGCCAACATAGTATCAGGTGCATACTACTTGTGTCACCCTTATCACTGAATGTTTTACCAATTATATAAAGACACTGTATAGACTTCGGTCAGACAGATGCTTCTGTACCACACCGCGTCGAATGGCTGGTACTACTACAACCCCACGTAGCCTGATCCATCGTTTTCACGCGGTGGCATCATCAACCCATGCATTCCTCGGTACTTAGGAGGTTCGGGCGCCTTCCAGTCCTCCAGGACCTTGGGGTCAGTCAATTTGTACACTTCCACCCCGAGCGGACGGGTAGTGGCTCCCATGTTTTCACCTTTTTCCTCCCAACCCCAGTTAGACAAATCACCTAAGCACGGTCATTAGCATAATACGACTCTTTGATCCACTAAAGCCACAAGAGACACATACCACCAGGACACGCCGAGAGTGCACACAAAACATCGACCTCAGCGAAGAACTCGAAATACTCTCCTGGCCTCGCCGGGGAAGTTTCCATGAAGTATTTGCCTTCTTCATCCAGCCCAGTTACCTGGAACACATTCAGAACGTCGTGCACATCAAGCTCTGTCAATCCGTACGGGAGTACAGAGCGGGTCAGATTCGAATGACAATGGAAGTCGAATGACTCGCCACCCATCAGCAAATTCACATAGGGATCGCATCGGGTACCCAGAAGATCATGGACTCGTCCTCCCCATTGAGTCGTTCCAAAGCCCTTTGTCCGTTTACCCTCTGCATCAAGCACTTCATGCAACTGTCCACCTCCGAGTGAATCACCCGTGATGGTAACGAGCGGCCGGAGGTATGGAAGATTGGACCAAAGACGGTCTCCAACAGATACGTGGGAGGCATGAATTTGACGGGTGCGCGCTGCCCAAAGTCGCTCTCTGGGATTGTTTGCATTCCATATGTTCAGATCACCCACTTGAGGGCCCTTTGGGGTAGTCAGACGACAAACATGGCCAGCCGGTACAACCCATGCTTGTCCAGAGCATGGACGAATGGTGAAAGATGTCTCTAGGGTTCTCTGAGAGGCGTCCGAGGCTGTGTTTGAGATGGCTCTGTAGACTTCGGAAGAAGCATGGACTGTAGATTCTGGCGGAGCAGTATATGCTGGTGGAGGACGACGGTTTACACCCATTTCGGCGTTCTTGATCGATGAGTGTTTATAACCACGGGAGAAGTATAAAGATTGACAAGGAAGAATCAATGAAGATCCCTCTGAGGGGTGGCGCAATCCTTTTATTATTGACCCCGTCTCGGCGACACTCCGACAAGTCTAGGAGCTTATCAAATACCCCGCTAACTCATCTTCAACTATTACCCCAATTATGGCGGTCCGGTTGCCGGCCCGAGAGTCTTGACGATTCGGAAGTTGTCCCCGCTCTAAGATGTGAGACTTTGACTAACGGAGCTCGAGTCTGACGTGCTGATCACCAGTATAGATTTTGAAGTCTCTACTAAAACAAAATTCACCAGCCACTAATAATGCATAGGTACTGAACACTGGGAGGTTGATCGACGTAAGACACATGAGTAGGTCTTTCATGGCGTGGTTCAGGGCGTTAAAAGTTCGAAAGGCCCTTTCGCCGCTCGTATCAAATCATGATAAGGAACTTTCTGGTCCTTCTCCCTTTTTTGGCGCCATGTCGAAGTCAGAATGTTTGGGTCAATGAACAGCGAAGAAAAAAGAGTCCATATAGTCAGTTTAAATAGATGACTGGACAAAAGAGTGTACCAACTAAGGGCTTAGAGTGAAGATGAAAAGCGCCATGTTTCATCTATAAATATTAGCCGTCTTACCGCGCAGCGTAGTTGCATGCGCCATTGTTTTAAGCCCTTATCGATTTATCAGTTTGGATTCGTCACCTCGGCAAAACACACAGTTACAGCATTCCGAGTTAATCTCATCTATATTACGGGAGAAATCAGTTCTGGCACCTACCGGCTTGTTCACAATTTATCAGCTAGCTTACTTCTTCTATGAATCACTTCCTACTTAGCATGCATACAAGCCCTGGTTATCAACAATCATATATCGACTCTATTTCAGAACCAGGTTAAATCAGCCATCAACATTAGCACCTTCTAATCAAACAATACACACTTATACTACCAGCTTGGTAGACCAATGTACCCTATTTAGGACGGCAGCAAAAGACTTCTTTGATCACATGCTTTGAATGATTCAACCTAACATTACTTATTAGTCCCCCTCGCCACTCCATTGGGATGATGCATCGGCTATGTAGATAAGCTACACGCTATCTTCCAACGTCTGAGTTAAACGCCATAGATTCCCCAATGTTAACCCACCTCAGACTGTGGGAACAACTCCACATTATGCCAGAGCTGGTTCACTGTATTTGTCAGAGCAAAAGGGAACTTGTCCTTCACACTGATCTTGTTTTGATATTACGGAGACACTGTAGCCGTAGTCTGGCTGTTCTTCTAAACTAGAGACCTGGAAGAGAGTTCGCGGTCTATTATCCAATCAATTACGCTGTACGGATAATTTGTGAAGAAACGGAGGAAAGACTGGTACGGAATGACACGGGTCATGAAATCGAGTTGATACTTGATTCATATGGATTTTAGTAGTACATGGAATATTTGCCCTGGTTCCAGCCGTTCACCAAGTATAGAATCAGGCTGAAAATTTGTTATTCAGTTACATTGGAGTGTTGAGCTTCTACAATATTTCGCAGTCTTGCTGTCCACATATAGGTATTATCTGTACTACAGTAGATTGGGTGCCTTATCAACGGCTTCAAGGTAATAGGATTGAGATAGTAGAGAAGGAATCATAAATAATTCCAATAAGCTGTCCTCAACAGGCTTGACTTTCTTTTATAGTTCTTTATCTGTCGGACCGATAAAGTGGACCCTTCACTTACCCCGGCCCGGCGAGCACGTGCTTGTACGGAGATAACAATTCTTATCAGAAATTTAGTACCTCAGGCAGTAAGGTGTCAACAATAAGAAACTTTTTCTAGCGGGAAGATATCGGCGCTTGCAAAATTCCGCCCCGAGAAAAGAAAATGGAAATAATAATTTTGGACCAAGCTACCTAAGCTGCTCGCGGACTGCTTGACTCTGCTACGAGTTCTGTCGTCGAAAGGGAAAAAGAATTTTTTTCTCAAAGGTCGCTGACCTTGTTTCTCGACAATGGAGAACCAGTCGAACAGGGTCCATCGACCCTCGAAGGAGAAAAAGAAGCATGATGGTATGCACTCTGTATAGGATCTAATTGCGATGATCTATGCATTTTGATCCCCCTCCGGTGGGATACATTTACTGATATGGAGATCGCGATTTAGGCCCGAATCCAAAAGCCTTCGCATTTTCGAACCCTGGAAAAGGAAATAAAGCTGGCGCGCGGTCGCATGATGTATGAGCTAAGCTCCGACTTTCGAGAGTTTCAGGGACTAACGACCCTCGATGTAGATTAAAGAAAAGAGGCTTCATGTGCCGCTCGTGGATCGTGTGCCTGAAGAGGCACCTCCCTTGTTGTTGCCATTGTTGGACCACCAGGTGTAAGTTTTCCAGATGGAGATACGGAGAATGGGAAAGTACCTAACAACACCTGGTTCGTTAGGTAGGAAAAACGACTCTCGTTAAATCCTTGATCCGTCGCTACACGAAACAAACCCTCAGCACCCCTAAAGGACCCTTGACTGTAGTGACATCCAAACGGCGCCGACTTACTTTCCTCGAATGCCCCTCCGACTCCCTTGCCAGTATGGTCGATGTCGCGAAAATCGCCGACATTGTGCTTCTGATGATCGACGGCAACTATGGATTCGAGATGGAGACTATGGAGTTCCTGAACGTCTTGTCTTCCAGTGGTATGCCAGGAAATGTGTTCGGTATCTTGACCCATTTGGACCTTTTCAAAAAACAGAGCACCCTTCGAATGGCGAAGAAGCGCTTGAAGCATCGCTTTTGGAGCGAGCTTTACAATGGTGCTAAGCTCTTCTACCTTTCTGGTGTCGTCAACGGCCGGTATCCCGATCGCGAAATACACAACCTCTCCCGTTTCCTGTCGGTCATGAAAAACCCTAGACCGTTGGTATGGCGCAATTCACACCCTTATGCGCTTGCAGATCGCTTTCTGGATATTACACCACCCACTCAGATCGAAGAGAATCCGAAGTGCGACCGAACAGTAGCTCTCTACGGTTATCTACGAGGTACAAATTTTTCAGCCCAGGGAGCGCGAGTGCATGTACCTGGCGTGGGTGATTTAACTGTCTCCGGCATTGAGTCACTTCCAGACCCATGCCCCACCCCCTTTATGGATCAACAAATGGCGAAAGCTCGGGCAAGGCAAGCAAACGCAGGCTGGGGGAAAAGCAAAAGTTACTATTCGCCCCTATGTCTGATGTTGGCGGTGTTTTGGTTGATAAAGATGCTGTGTATATTGACGTCAAGACTTCGAATTTTAACAAAGGTGATGATGAGTCTGAGGATGAAGACCGTGGCCTTGGTGAACAGCTCGTTGTTGGTCTTCAAGGTGAACGTAAACTCCTTGGTGAAGCCGATGGAGGTGTCCGCCTGTTCCGAGGTGGCGAGGCTATAGAGAAGGCGGACGATGAGGATGAGGGTGCAGGAAGGAAACACAGGAGACATGCGAGGTTTATGGATGGAGAAGGAGGTCAGGCAGAGGAAGATGAAGGTTTCGACAGCGCCGATGATGACGATGAGGAGGAACTGGAAGGCGACAGTGATGAAGAGAACATTGACGTGTCCGCACCTCCCGACTTTGAAGCAAGCTTTAGGGAGAAACAGGAGGGCAAAAGCCGCCATGACGAAGGTGACATCGCATTCGCCGACAGTGATTCTGATCTCGGATCCATTTCGTCAGTTGAAGACCAGGAACTGGAAAGCGACGACGAAGAAGACCTTGATGAAGAGGATGAGGATGAGGATGGCGCTGTTCGGTGGAAAGAGAGAATGCTCGACAACGCCAAAGCGCTCCATGCCAAAAGACCAAAGTATCGTGTCGCTGACCTGTCTCGCATGATGTACGACGAATCTATCACTCCTCTTGACGTGATTCGGAGATGGTCCGGCAAGGATGAAGAGGAGGATGCTGATGAGGAGATCGAAGAAGATGCGGACGATTTCTTCAAGAAGACCAACAATGAGAAGGAAGAGCAGTCGGAATATCGTGCCATCCCCGAGTTCGACTATGAAGAGTTAGAGCGGAAGTGGCGGGATGAAGAGATGATTGAATCTCTACGGAGCCGATTCGCCACTGCTAGGCTGTCTGGCAATGATGATGACGATGGTTCGGATGTTGATGATGCCTTCGATGAGGATGATGAAGGAGATGGAGATTTCGAGGACCTGGAGACTGGTGAGGTGTTCAATGGCATCTCGGACGAGAAGGAGGAGCAGGATGAGGGTTCAGGCGACGAGGGATCCGTAGATCTCGAAGCAGAGCGCGAACGAAACGCCAAGAAGAAGGAGGAGCTGAGGTTGCGCTTTGAAGAAGAAGACCGTGAGGGATTCGCCAACTCCAAGGATAACTCACGACAGGACGGTGGAGGCGATGAAGAGTTCGGTGAAGATGAATGGTACGATGCACAGAAAGCGAAGCTGCAGAAGCAGCTAGACATCAACCGGGCCGAATTTGATACTTTGGATCCAGCCTCAAGGGCTAGAGCTGAAGGTTTCAAGGCTGGAACCTATGCCCGTATTGTTCTGGAAAATGTACCTTGCGAATTTGCGACCAAATTCAATCCTCGCTTCCCCGTCATTGTCGGTGGATTGGCACCCACTGAAGACCGATTTGGATATGTGCAGATTCGGATCAAGAGACACCGTTGGCACAAGAAGATTTTGAAGAGTAACGATCCCTTGATCTTCTCTCTCGGGTGGCGTCGCTTCCAGACCCTACCAATGTACAGCACATCCGACAACCGGACGCGTAACCGCATGCTTAAATACACGCCAGAACACATGCACTGCTTTGGCACCTTCTATGGGCCACTCGTTGCACCAAACACTGGTTTCTGTTGCGTGCAATCTTTCTCCAACAAGGCCCCAGGTTTCCGAATTGCGGCAACCGGAGTAGTGCTGAGCGTGGATGAACATACGGATATTGTGAAGAAGCTCAAGTTGACTGGTACACCTTACAAGATTTTCAAAAATACCGCCTTCATCAAGGATATGTTTAACTCTTCCCTTGAAATTGCCAAGTTTGAGGGTACCGCGATTCGAACCGTATCTGGCATTCGAGGTCAAGTCAAGAGAGCTTTGAGCAAGCCCGAAGGTTGCTTCCGTGCGACATTCGAAGATAAGATTCTTATGAGTGACATTGTCTTCTTACGCGCATGGTATCCTATCAAACCGCATCGATTCTACAACCCGGTAACAAATTTGCTTGACCTGGAAGAAGACAGTGCAGGCGATAGTGGGTGGCAGGGAATGCGTCTCACCGGCGAAGTCCGCCGTGAGAAGGGTATCCCAACGCCCCTGCAGAAGGACTCTGCCTATCGTCCCGTTGAACGGCAGGAGCGCCATTTCAATCCTCTCCGCGTCCCACGACAACTGGCTAAGGAGCTTCCGTTCAAGTCCCAGATCACCAAGATGAAATCGCGCAAAGACCAGACATATATGCAAAAGCGAGCTGTCGTCCTTGGAGGAGAGGAAAAGAAGGCACGAGACCTTATGCAAAAGCTGACCACCATGCGGAACGACAAGCAAGCTCGACGTGCAGCGAAGCAGGAGGAGCGGAGACAGGTCTATCGCGCCAAGGTCGCCGACAGTTTGGAGAAGAAGGAAGCCCGGGAGAAACGGGAGCGCGACGATTACTGGCGGCGAGAGGGCAAGAAACGAAAGAATACAGACGAAGATGGAGGAGGTGGAGGCAAAAAACGCAAGTGATCTTGAACCTCTTGGCAGTTTTTTTATCGTTGCATGTGTATTGGTTGGTAAAAGTTCGTTTTCTGGGATAATGCCCATATGTATCTATTGATATGCTGCATGGTGGATGGCGTTCAATTATATCTGATGATATATACCAAGGAATAGAATGTGCTTTTTATTCTTCAGGGTTGGGTCCACTTTGTGTCATGTGTTGTTGAGCTGCCTCTCAGTCATGTTGCTTACGTGCGGCTGTTGATGCGATACTACTTTGCCTGGCTATGTAGGCGGAACCTGCCACGTGACCGCGCCGCGGAACGCGTCGACTGGAATAGAGTTGGCCACTCGAAGGTTAAACAAATACTACTTGACTTGACAGCCCGAAGATCATTCAGCAGGTATGCTCCATGTGCTTCTGGCTTCAGCTCCAATCCTCACCCGTGTCTCCTCACTTCAATCGAGCAAGTGTCGGAATTGAGTTACGTGTGGGGACGTAACGTGCTTGTCCCGGTTAATCCTTCGCTCCAAGGCACTCCTTGCGTTCAAAAGACGGGACTTAAAATAAGCACCCCTTGCAGCTCAGCAGAGTGCGGAATTCCATCCCCATTGAGGAGGCTATTTGCGCAGCGCGATTGCCCTGTGAACGGTCTGTCAGGAATAGGGTTGATAGCTCCGCATTGCACGTTCCCGCGCCAACACCCTTGACCCGGGCGGAGATTAGATTGTTCGGCGCTTGGAATTGACGATCACCTCTATGGTTCAAGGACATCTGGGCAATTGATTATCTTTGTCCAATTGCGTGGCCTTCCATTTGTCGACATTGTAACAGCTGTATCTTGTCGGTCGTCGTGGACTGAGCCCCCAAGGTTCCCAGTCTACACGGCCGCGTCCTGCGCGATTCGCTGCCCCTCAGCCAGGATGAGCGGATTGCCGCATCTACATGGGCGCCAACACATGCAACATGCGCAGCCTTCTTCGCTGCAGTGTGATCCCAAGCAACCTGCCCCATATGCTCCTACGAATGACTGTTCGGATTCGACCAATTCAGGGCAGCATGGCAGTTACCCTTCAGAGTCGCGGTCTTCAATTGCTCCTGCGAGTACGGTGGTCGAGCCCGCATCAGAATATACACTTCTTACGGCTTCTAGCCGAGCTGCCAATCCAGGCTCGCCCATAGGCGTCACTTCCCACTCCCAAGAATCATCGGGTGCAAGGTATCCGACTACGCGGTCTCGCTCTTCCCCAGATAGATCACAAATGCGACCTAGATATACCCAATTAACCATAGGCGATACGTCAGAGAAGCAGGTTGAATCCAAACGTTCCGTTTCCAGTGTGCATAAAAATAGTTCCACAGCAGTTCCAGAACCCCCAAGCCCTTCTGGCATAGCTGCGGGTCACAAGAGAACTGCAACTGGCTTTATCAAACCATCTGTGGAAGATCAACTTTATAGTTCAAGTGAAACAATTGCCGAGAGACGTCGGTCTAAAAGCAATAGCTCAGCTACGCATGGAAATAGAATTGCAGCGGTAATGAGACTCCATAGGTCGTCTTTTCTGAACTCTATCGCTGACACCAATGCAGTTGTCAGTGCACCTTCGCACACGCCTGTCTTACGCTGCTGCTAAGATCGAGGCAAGCCGACGGTCACAGAGCTCTCAGAACAAGTTACCGTTGGATTTACTTCATGGTGACCGTTCATCTTCAACTCCCGCTACCAACCCGTTCGAAAGGATAGGGCAGGGAGGAGGCCTGATGGAGCCCGGCTCTCCTGGCGCGATTACTTCTATGTCTGTGCCAGATACAGTACCAAAATCCCATCTATACTCATTCAACGATCCTATGCGATTATCCCCGACAGCCAGATCGGAAGACTCTGCACCATCTTTGAAGAGTGATCCTCGAAAATCGCACACCCCACTTTCTTCACTACCGAGATTTGCGAGACTCGCACCACCTGCAGATATCATCCCAAGAAGTGACAGCAGTAGGCGCAGGCGCCCGAACCCAAATGACCCCACTAGTCAGACACAAAACTTCCCTTACTCTCGCCATCGACGGCATCATTCTCAGCAAAGTATCAGTACAATCAAACGAAACTCTAGCTCAGAGACTGTGTTGGTTCCTGAGACACCTCCTCTCCGTCCATTGCCTCACGACGGCCTACTCACTCAGCAAAGCCATTCGCAAAATTCGTCCATGGAACAAGATGCGATAGAGACGCTACTCTTCATGTCCAGCCCGGGACACTCGGGGTACTGCTCCAATTCACAGCCCTCCCGGAGTCAGCCGAATCATACACATAGCAGCAATACATCTGCGCAGACTAAGTATAGCGCACCCGGGAGTCAAGACACGCACATGCTTGCAGACACGGCTCAACTTCCTCCTATATATCGTGACTCAGGCGTGGGATTAGAAGCTCAGGCCGGTGATGAAATCGATCGCTTGTTGGATCAAATGGACAGCGATAGCGAGGATGAAAAGAATTACCCCTCTACTCACTCGAACAGCATCAGCAGTCGCTCAACGCCAAGTGGCAGTTCTCAGAGACGTAACCCTCGGCTTCAATCATGACTACCTACACTTTTGACTTTTTGAGTTCTTGACCATCTCAGCGGCGTTTAATTACCCCCCACTATTTTTGCACAATCAACGCTTAAAAGTGAATGATGCGTAGTGCATTGTTTGGGTATTATTCGACATCAACATGGCGCATGCATGGATCGGGAGTGTCTTGTGGTTATTTGCCGTATGTACCGGGTTTCGGGGAATCTTGTCGTTTGTTTTCGCTTTCAAAATCAATCATTAGGGAGCGGCAGCAGCCAGGCATGGCTACATAAGCTTGATGAATATAGTGGTTACTGTACATCGGGCCTGACTGATAGGTTCCACAGTATCCCTGGTTATCATACTGCAACTGATGTTCACTAAATATCTCCTGTAGCCCAGCCAATAGAGGGGAATCTGTACAACCAGAACATAATAAAACATCTGAACGATATTATCTTCTCTAACGGCTCAGTTGACGGTACAGATGCAATAGAAGAGAGAGGGAAAGGAATTTGAGAAGAGAAACAACAAAAGCAGAAACCCAGAATAGCTCTCAACGCATGACCCCCAAAGAGGTATCTACTTCTCAACCCGACAAAGTCCCCATTCATCCCACCCCTCACTCCCAACACCTCTCCTCACAACAAACAGGCTCTCAGGATCCCATTTTTTCTTAATCTCCAACAGACGCCGATAATTCTCTCCCCAGAACGAACCCTGAAACTCCGACTCATAAGCATTCGCCTCATTCAAATAAGCGCCCATCTTTTCGTCTCCTTCAACAGATCTCAGGATCGGCACTTCCACATCAGTAAGGTTCCTTTTCACAGCCTCCTGCTCAGCCAAAGTGGCGTTCGGTTCCCAGCCCCGGGGTATTACGATATGAGTGATTGCTTTCCTCCACGCAGGGTTCAGCGCACTGTCTACCTTTCCTGCGTTGTTTGCTACGGCGCCGCCAGCTACGAGATGGCCGAGGATGGCTGAGCCGGGATCAACACGGATGGAGCGCAGCGCGGAGGTTAGTTTTCTGGAGCCATTGTTGGATGACAAAAGGTCCCTGGAGAAGAGCCTTGAGCCTAATAAGCTCACGCCACCTGTTTGGTCGGAGCTGCCAGTGAGGAAAATGTTGGAAAAGATGAAGCCGACGCTCGGGATTGCGTAGGAGGCGTACTGGGTGTATACACCAGTAGTACCGTTCAATTTCGAAATAAGAGGGGCATACAGACTGTCAATCTGTGCTGTGTCTGTTTGATTGGGGAAGATGAAACTTGGGTTAATGTTGAGACGCTGGTGTTCTCTGATAACTTGATATCGGGAACCATCCAGTAATATCCGGCGCCTTTGGCGTCGTTTATCCTTGGCAGAGATGCGTGGAAGTCCGTCAGGGCATCCCAATATTGAGGGTTCCCCACTGAGGTTGTGATGTTGAGGTTGGTTAGGATAAGGGGTGCGTCGTCGAATGTGCGGACTGTGACGCTTACGACGACTCCAAAGGTACCCCCGCCTCCACCTCGGAGAGCCCAGAATAGGTCTTTGTTCTGGTACTCATTTGCTACAACTAGCTCTCCCTGTAGCGGTATCATCAGTATGGATCTTCTTGAGCAGGGGTGTGTTATTGTCACTTACATTAGCAGTCCCGATGGTGAACTCAAGGGCATTATCCGAAGCCATCCCCTTCCATGGTCCCAGGGCAGAATGTCCACCACCTTGAATATATCCCCCTGCAGCACCAACCGTGTGAGAAGTTCCGGCAACAACGGTTCTATTCCTCGCGGCGACAGCAGCGTACAACTCCTGCAGACTGACACCGGCGGCTATTGTAACTGCCGGGCCTCATCTTTACCCTTTGGTGCACCAGCCGGAGTGAACTTGTCCACAATCTTGATATCCTTCATCCCATTGGTAAGGATCTGCAGTGACCCTGGGGCGGAAGCACGACCCAGGAAATCATGCCCTGAGTTCTTGACCACGAGACGAAGGTTATATTGCTTTGCGAACTTCACCGTCTCCTGGATATCAAATGCTGATTTGGCGAGTGTCGAATAGAGGGAGATCTGGCCCTGCCCACACGGCATGTTTCGTGGACTCTCGATGTAGCAAGTCTCATTATGCTCCGGCCAGGACTCCCAATTTTCCCACTGTACGGCACCGGGCTGCGCCGCTCGCCAGGTCGAGTTCGTCCAGGCCGCCGTGACTTCCTTACAGGCCGAGCTATTCCGGCCACCTTCATGACAGACTGCTGCAATAGGCCGTACGGCTACTAGGTTTCCGTTGATGGTACTGTTGAGAGAGTTCCATTCTTGTTCTGAGGGCCAGCAGCTCTGGTGCGGTTGGCAACGACATGACGAGGAATTGCTATTGCCGTATGCCAGCGGAATAAAAGGCAATGCCCAAATCAATGACTTCATGATGCAGATTCGGTCTGGCGATGTGCTTGTAAAGAGAAAGCAGATTTGAATTGTCCTAGAGAATCCCACTTCCATGAACGCGACGCAGATATCCTATTTATAACTTCGATTAACACCCAGAATAGAGCATACAACATCTCGTTCTTGCCCCGACACGACACCCTACATTGTCAGATACGATACATGGCTATGTCCGTCGTATTCGCTTGCTTAATTCTATACTTGGGACAGCACATCGGGCCCGGGGCAGTGTTTTCCTAATCCGGGCAGGTCGCTGGACAAGTCAGATCCCGAACCATTGGATCGGGTCTTGACCTGGAGCTATCCATGGCCTGTCGAAAGCTTCGTATATGTAAGGGAAATCCGCATTGGAGGACTTTGACGTCACGGGAAGCTTGTTGGGAAAGCTCGTATTCGGCAAACCTCAAATTGAGTCCGTGGAGATATCACCAGGGTGGCTGTGGATGATGAGCCTCTGGCACCAATACGACGGCCAGATTTGGCCATAGTTCCAGTAATCTTATAGGTCCAGAGGGGTATAGCATATGGGTGCCTAGTAGGATTAAAGTAAAACGTCTAAACCTTTTTCGTTATGGTATTGCCAACGCCGATCCCAATCCAAGCCTCTAATAGACATTTCTCCTACATCACAATTTCAAAGTTAGGTCTTTCATCTATAAGGAAATTAATATATCTTCATGGCTGGCGTGGAGGAAGTATGTACCCCTTGTGTATATGTATTAACAACAATATCCTATTCTATAATTCGGCTGACCACTAAGGTTCCAACTAAACCCGGTAAGATAGAGAACGGCACATACTATTAGTGAACCGTTCCTCGCGGGAAAAAACAAGTCATTCCATGGGAGCCAGTTGGGAATACAGACTTCCACTAGCGGCCCAGACAGCAAAGTAATAATAGGGCGCTTACATTAGGTATTAACAAAACCTCTAACTAGGGAACTTGGTTACTTGAGCTTAGTTAGACCAGAATTGTAAAATGGCTAGTACTTATGATTGGGAAGACAAGGTGAAAAGGCAATGCTGTCTCTCTTGGAGTATTTTCCCCAGGACAAAGCATGGGGTATCAGGCTCTTCCAGAAAAGCTCAGGTATAATTCCCTCTTGTACTTTGGCATACTGACGTGCATACGGTTCATGGAATATATATCGAGTGACAATGCTCAAAACCGTAGATTCCGCTCATCATTTGTACGCAAATATCTGCAACTGTGTCGAGATCTTCACAGTTGTATAGACTGCAGAGTATATATCACTTACAGATGGCTACACCTTCACTTGGAGCTGAGGCAAGCTGGAGGGGGAAATGAGGCAGAATTTTGTTAATCACCATTTGAGTATCCATTGGCATGGTCATCAGTCAACATGACAGGCTCTTTAATGATTCTCTAGTGCTCCTTGGGGTTATATCATGATATATCTATATATCTAGGGTCGCATATGTACAGCAGTACCAAGCATCAACACTCTTCCACTCACTTGCTCACTGCCAATTCTGCGGAAGAATCTCAATAATATATCCATCCTAAACACACAGTTAGCCTACCATCACAGCCCCTCAATCACGAGTCAAGGAAAGAAAGAAGAAGAAGAAGCATACCGGATCAGAAACATAAGCAATCTGATCGAAAAACACGTTATAGTTCGGATGAATCTCTCCGGCCCCGACACCCCTCTCTTCCTCCCACTTACTCAACGGGATACTCTCTCTCGTCGTAACCCCCAGCTCCTTAACAACCGTGACGCCCTGGGCCCTCAACCTCTCGACGGTAGCCCTCACATCGGGCACCGTGAACCCCAGATGGCCGAACCCCAGATTGGGCGGCGTGTTCCCGTTCGCCATCTCCACACCGCCCTCCTCCACGGGCTTCTCCGTCCCATGGATATGGAACAGCTCCAGCAACCCCAGCGTCTGGGTGAGGTTCGCCGGGTCGGAAAGCTTAGCCGCCCATGCGGAGAGGTCGGCCCGGTCTTCGGCGCTGGAGGGGAAGCCGAGGTAGTACATTGTGAAGGGGCCGGTGTTCATGGTGAAGACGGTGCGCATGCCCATGAGGTCGATGTAGAAGTGGAGCGAGCGTTGCGGGTCTCGGATGCGGAGCATCGAGTGGTTTAGTTTTGTCCCGATTGTTGGGTCATTTGGTGGGAGGGGAGGGTCGGTGTTGTGGCCGCCTGGGAGGAAGGCGCCTTCTTCGAAGGGGGTGGGCTGGGGGCTCATGGTTTTTTGGTTATGTTGAGTGTTGGGTGGATGGATGTGGTGTGGGGTTTGGATTTGTGTAGAGGGGGATGATCCGATATAAATATACAAGTCTAGTGAGTAGTTACCGAGGGCAAACTAAGAAAGCTCACTCCACCTCAGGTGATTAACGATAATGTGGACTGGGCATCCACAATCACTTTTCAGACAGATACGAAGAAACAGGGCTTTTGAGTTCATTCGGGAAACATAGACTCTTTTTGTTCTTTACCATGTAGGACACCGAGTCGTTATATCCATCTAAGTATACAGAGAAAGAAAGTGCCATGTCTACTGCACCCCCCAACTATCGTCCTCCTCTGCCACGTCGTAATCAACTTCATGATTTCCGTCTCTCCGTCCGGCTGATGGATCAGGAGCGAGGGGTGTACTCGTGGGCTCCATCACAGTATCCTCATCGGAGCCGGTTTTGGTATCCAATCCAGAACCCGGTGTCGTGGGCGCCACACTGATTGGAGGGTTGGGTACCCAAGTGAGCTGCACTTCGCCGACGGATGGTATCTGCCATGATCCGTACATAAACTTTTCTGCAAGGTACCGCTCTTTGAATGCGACTATCACAGAATCCGATTGCTCTGGATTAGGTTGAATGGACTCATATTCACCAACGCCCTAAGGTTCCAATGACATCAGCTGTAGTTCGATATAGATACGCAAATATGAGGAAAGGAAATTACTCACGATGAGGAACTGCCTCAATGCTTCGTCCTTCTCAGAGTTCAACTCAACGCCCGAGACGGCAACTCTCCTGGGTCGATTATCGAGACGAAGTACACCTCCCCGGCCACGGGCCATTCCTCCACGACCGCGATATCCTCCACGATAATTGGGATCGTATCCACGGCCGCGGGGCGCATAGCCGCCTCGTCCCAGGTATCCACGGCCACGGCCGCGATATGAGGGCCCACCAGAATCAGCGCCGTTGGGATCAATTCCAAGCGTCTTGGCTTCGGCTTCGAGAGCTGCCAATTGTGCGCGCAACTGCTTCGTTTGGTCGCTAACATTCTCTTGGGGTGAGGGGCCGCTCTCCCCATCTGAGGATGCAGCACCATTGCTGACATCGTTCCCGCCAAGCTTTTGCATCAGTCTTTCCTTCTCTTCCTGCTGTTTCTTCAAGAGTTCCTCGCGCTGCTTCTCCAGTGCTTGTTTGGCTTCCTCTGTCTCCCTGCGCTTCTGCATCTTCTCCTCGTAGGCCTTTTGCGCTGCTTCTTGCTGCCTCTCGAACTCCTCCTGGTTGAACGGCTCAACCTCGCTGGCCGCTTGTCGATGATCACTATTCTTATCTGCCTTCGCCTTATGCCAGTAAACCTTGACGAATCGGTTATCGAAAATCACCTTGGGGCTAGACCATGCGCGCTTGGCAGATGCGTGGCTATCATATGTGATCAATGCAAGCTTCTTGTGAGGCTGTAGAGAAAGCTCAACGATGTCGCCGTACTGAGAGAAGAACTCCCTCACTGATGCATCATCAAGTTTGTCATCCGGGATTTGCTCAACAACAATGGTTGTGATAGAAGTATCTTCATTAGGACCAGCCGCAGAGTACTCGGATCGACGTCCTCGTCCTCCAAATCCACCCCTGTCCCCACCACGGCCGCGGCCGCGGCCTCTGTCGCTGCCACGAGGCGGAGTGTTAGTGTTCCGTCTCTGGAAGTCTGTCACAATATTAGACGATTTCGGGTCATATTCTGCAATGCACCGTTAGCAACACCAGCGGCAGTGAGTAGGAGTGTTTTCCCTACCATCTTCCTTCGGAATACCAGGCGTATCATGTTGATATGGACAGGCAGCGCCCAAATAGCATATGCCTTGTGTATCCCAAAAGGGACACCGTTCTGAGCTCTTTGGCGCCATTGGATCCTGTGGCTGGCCAGCGCCGCCACCAGGAACCGGCATGGGCATAGGAGGCATGCCGGGCATCTGTGGAAACCCCATACTCTGGAGGGCCATCATCGCCGCCATCGGGTCATTCTGATCAAACGACGGAAAGGTCGGGGGCATCGCAGGAAATCCACCCGCAGGTGGCGGGGCGTATTGGCCGGGGGCTGCACGGCTATCGCGTCCCATCCAATCTCCTCTTCCACCACCCCGGCCACGTCGCGGTGTCTTGAAGTTCCTGTTATGTGGAGCCTCTTCGCGCTCTTGATCTGCCTGGAGCCCTTCATGGAAGCTACGCTTGCGTCCATAGCTTGACGAGTCCGTCTGTGACTGAGGAGTGTTGCTCATAGGAGCCCCGTAAGGCCCCCTCGAAGGGCCAGATGGGGGGTTAAAGGGGGCTTGTTGCTGAGAGCTTGGTTCGGGCGCATTGATGTCATTGGAAATCTGCGGTTGGCTCAACGGATGCGAGCTTGCGGAAGGAGCGGTTTGTTTCGGCGCAAAAGTAGCGAAAAGCTCGTCGACAAATGGCACCGTGTCTAGATTTCAGGGTGGCTCGGTTAGAAAGCTACCCAAACAATGACGAGCAAATTTTACGAACGCTCTCTGAGGAAATCTTCCAAACCCTCCACAGACGCTTTCCGGATTTCTTCATCTGGAGCGTCGGCTCTGATAAGCGCAAGCACATAGTCTGCAAGTACATCGGCATCGGCATCAGATCTACCATAGTCATCGAGATTGGTGTAGATTAGCTTCATGGAGCATTGAAGAAGGGTACAACAAAGGAACATCGCTGGACGGAGCTCGCGCGGTTGTGAAAGGATCTTACATGTCTTCCAGTTTTCGCACCACCCAAGTCTTCACCTCAGCGGCTTTACTTTCTGAGAACTTCATGGTGCCACACAGCTATTCGGTGTTAACCCCACACTCTATCCCGACAGTCGTCGCCTTTAGCCGTCCTGCGTAGTAGCTAAAAATAATTGAGGCCCGAGAAGCGAATCCGGCTGAAGATAAATAATGGTACCGGGTAATGAAGGCAATTCAGAAAGCGCAAGTGAAAGATAACGGGATATGGCGTTTTATGAATCAAATAGGCCAAGATATGCTCAGGCCATAATGTAGAGGTCAGAGTGAGGGGACATAATAAGAGCTTTGCGGACAGAAGAAGCCGGGGAAACGCGAGGCGGACGCGGATGACGGAAATGATCACGTGATATACAAGGCCATTTCTGCAGGACACGATTATGGCGAGGCAGCACAGGTTGGGCTTTGTTAGTTGATATTGGTCTTGCTACATGTACAGACCACATGGTGTGTGCATCTCGTACGTGCGAGACTGGTGGCTACAGGATGCTACGAGGGCAATTGTGGAGAAATTTTAGCTGTGGAACTACAATCGAGTCCAACTGGAAAGATCAAGTGAACTATGTAAAAAGCCTCGCATTCGTTAACGTAACAATAGATAATGAAAAGCCATAGCAGATGCACTCCTGGACTCTACTTCTAAAGGTCGAAAATCCACATACGACATTCAGCTGTGGCGCTTTATTTTGAATTTTTGGGTGTTGGCCCTAGCATGGACATAGTATTGCGCTCGTCGATCTCATAAACATAGATTTGCAATCAACGGGTTTACAGCTTGTCGTAGTACTGTGCAGAACTGTTAGCAACGTGCGTTCGAACTGTTGGTAGAAAGAAGGACTTACGTTCTCGTATCCAGGAACCTGCTCCTTGAGACCCTTGCGCTTACGCATCTCAGCAACAATCGCACCAGGCTTAGTGGTGGTGTCAAGAGGAGAACCACCAGGAAGAACCTCCCAGTGATCGAAGACGGACTGGGGGAAGGCCTGGCCACCGGTGGCCGCACGGAGATCAGTGGGGAAACCGAAGGACTCGTTGACGGGAAGGTAGGCCTTGATAGTGAACAGAGGGGTACCGGGTCTCTGCTCCTCAGAGTAAACGTGACCACGACGGCGGGTAAGGACACCGTAGATACCACCCATAGCCTGCTCGTTAACCTGGATTTCAACGTTGAAGATGGGCTCCAGGATGCTGGGGTCAGCAAGCAGTTGAGCGGCGTAGAGGACACGACGAGCGGTGGGGATGATCTGACCGCCACCACGGTGGATAGCATCAGCGTGAAGGGTAACATCAAGGATGTTGAAGCGGACAGCACGCATGGGCTCCTCGGCAATAGGACCCTCACGAGTAGCCCACTGGAAACCGGAGACGACGGAATCCTTGATTTCGTTAAGGTACTGGACGGCCTTGGTCTGGTCAACCAGCAAGTTGGCACCAGTGGTGTCAGGACCGAAGGTCCAGATCTTACGGGCATCGGTAACATCCCATCCGTACTCATCAGCCATGAGACGGGCACGAGTCTTGAAATCATCACGGGGGCTGATCTTGCCGGCCTCAATGGCAAGAGCACACTCCTCCTCAATTGGCTCGGCGGTGACGTAGAGACGGTTGTGCTTGTTGGGAGACTTGGAGAGAGCAGTCATGCTGGACTTGCCAGCGACGGACTCACGGTAAGAGACAACAGGGTCGGAGATCTTGAGGGGAACACCAGCGTGATCATTCTCGAGATCGTTCAAGCAAATCTCAAGATGCAACTCACCGGCACCAGCAACGACGTGCTCTCCGGACTCGTTAATCATGGTCAGGACACAAGGATCAGACTTGGACAGACGCTTGAGACCCTCGACAAGCTTGGGAAGATCAGCGGCGTTCTTGACCTCAACGGAACGCTGCACGACTGGAGAGATAGAGAACTTCATGACCTTGAGGTTGTGAGCGGTCTCAGAGGTGGTGAGGGTACCAGACTTGAGCAAGAACTGGTCAACACCAACCAGACCAACGATGTTACCGCAGGGAACGTCGTCAATGGCCTCGGTCTTACCACCCATCATCAGAACAGTACGCTGGATCTTCTTGATGAACAGGTCGTCCTTCTTGCCAGGGGTGTAGTTGGGACCCTGGATACGGACCTGGAGACCGGACTTGACGATACCGGAGTAAACACGACCGAAAGCATAGAAACGTCCCTTATCGGAAGTGGGAACCATCTTAGAGACGTAGAGCATCAGGGGAGCAGGGTCCTCCTTGGTACCAGCCTTACACTCCTTGATGGCGTTAAAGCACTCGTCATCCTGAGGACCCTCGTACAGAGTCTCGGCACGGTACTTCTGAGCAGTAACGGGAGAAGGCAAGTGGATACAGATCATCTCCAACATAGCATCGGCGGCAGGCAAGAACTTGCGCATGATAGTCTTGAGGAGAAGCTTGCCCTCCTGGTCCTTCTCATCGCTAGTAAGCTTGATCTCAAGCTTCTCGACGAGAGTGCTGATCTGGTCTCTCTTGTTGTTGGTGACGGCATCGAAGATCTTGTAGATGGGGTCCAAGCAGAACTGGTTGAAAGCACGCTCCAGAGGCTTTCCATCAGCATCAGTGCTCTTGGTAGACCACTTCTTGGTCTTGGGGTTGAAGTAGTTTTCACCCCACAGACGCTCAAGCATCTTCTTACGGTCAACACCGAACTTCTTAGCGTAACGGACGGCGAACTGGCGGACAGTGAAAGCCCATCCGTGGAGACCGGAACCGAAAGCGACGGTACCCTTTTCGGCGGCAACTCTTGTCTCACCAAGAGCCTTATCTTCGTAGGTAGCAATGGTGGCGTTGACGGTCTCAATGATACGGGACAAGTTCTGGTAAAGATCCTCCTTGCCGAGCTGCTGCTCAAGCATAGAACGGTCGACCTTGTTGATGATCAAAACAGGCTTGATACGCTCACCAAGGGCCTGACGCAGGACGGTCTCGGTCTGGACACAGGAACCGGAGACGGAGTCGACGACGACCAGGGCACCGTCGGTGACACGGAGAGCGGCAGTGACCTCAGCGGAGAAGTCAACGTGACCGGGAGAGTCGATCAAGTTGATCAGGAACTCGTTGCCGTCGTGGCCTTGAGCAATCTCCTTGAGATCCTCGGGGTCATCGAACTTGGAGTACAGGGTGATAGCAGTAGACTTGATGGTAATACCACGGTCCTGCTCGTCCTGACGAGTATCCATGAAACGGGCCTCACCAGCCTTGGCAGCGGCAATGACACCAGCACGCTGAACCAGGGAGTCGGATAGAGTGGACTTTCCGTGATCGACTGCATGCCAAAAGAGCCCGCGCATTAGTACATACTCGTCACGCATATGTACGCTATCAATAAAGCAATGGCAGTGGACGTACCGTGAGCAATGACGGACATGTTACGGATGTTCTTCGGCTTGTCCATCAGGGACCGAATCTACGCGTTATTAGCTTTGCTGTTCTTCTTCCACCTTTCGTCGACGTCTTGGATCCAGAGCGACTTGAAGGTAGCTTGATGGGGACAGCACAACGAACCTCCTCGATTGTGAAGCTTTAAAGTCATAGTCAGCAGGCCATTCATATTCAAATCACAGCTGGCGGCATCCGCCATACGAATGTCGCTCTTGGGAAGTGGGATACGTACTTAACCATTTTGGCGGTGTTTTATCGTCAACAGCCTTAGAGGCGGGGTTGTATAGTAAAGCAGAAAAACAAGAAACGACACACAGAGGATCAGGATCGAGGGCTAACTCGACCTGAGTATTATAGGACAGAAGGGGCCTATGTGTGTTGCTCCTAAAAAAAGGGAGACAGTGGGCTTCGCAGAGGAAGGTGAAGAAAGGGAAAAGAAGAGGACGGTGGAAGAGGGGAAAAGAGGGAGAAGAAAGCGAGAGTGGGGACTTTCGCAGTGGGAATTTTTTTTCCTTGCTAAAAAAAATCTGGGATGTGCGTTTTACTCTTGGTAATCTTTTCTGCCGTTTAGTGGGTTTGCTGATTTCCACCCCTCATTTCCTTACCAAACTTTACCTCGTCTAACAGCTCGTTACAGTCTGACCATTACTCACTCCCCGTCATCAAGTGAATGGTCAAAGCTACCATGCCCATGGGTACAATGTATTTCTCAGCAATCCTCTGAAAGCTCTACACTGTTGCTTTACTTCCTTGCAAATGTTCACCCATGGTTCATGAACCAAATGGCTCGTTCTCTGAGTCACAATCAAGTCTATGCCGTCTTCGTCGATGGTATTCACTGATTATTTTGTTACTTCCCGACTTAGAGAGGTGAAGAAGGAGCTCGGACAAAGCTCTGTGGCGTTGACAGTCAGTCCTGATATCATCGTATCATGATCCATGCCTGTCCTCCAATTACGTATGGCGTACCAAGTCATGCCCCAAGGAAATACGCGGGACGAAGCTTCCATTCCATCCCACTCAGAAAAGACAAAAAAAAGGCCTTCGATTCACAGTCGATGAATGGTTGAGCCATCACTTATAGGGCAGATGATTGGCCAACAACCCGAATTTTACCCCTCTGCCCTCACCGCCCACCCTTTCTAGAGGGCGGAGTTAGGAAGGATGGATTTAACTGAAGGACCTAAGCTGAGCTTTAGTCCCAGACTTTTCGGAGTAATACCTCCACTTGTAGATGGTAATACAGAGTTGACCGGCATATGAAACCATACCAAACTATGCCTCATTCCACTCCATCATTCCACCACAGGCGAAGTAACAACACCTGGGCAACATCACTCCACCTGTGGCGGCGGGGTTCTGTGGCCTATATGCAGTGGGACTAACGGCGCTGTGATATCACATCTTCTTTAGCGGTTCGGAATTAGTACTGCGTATTACTTTTCCACTATGTACTATGCATGTGTATGTATGTATGTATGTGCATGTATGTCTATCTATGTATGATTATGTACTGTACAAGTAAACCCTAGGTATGGATATCAAGAAGCAACCAGATCTAATCAATCAATACATAGGAGCATGCATGACGCAGGCCGTTCGTTGATTGGATAGTATTATAAAGAACATGAGGAGGTCACGACGATCCTAGGATCTTCCCATATGCATCCTCCACTTCTTTCGCAATTTCTAGTAATGTCACGATAATGATTTGATGAGTGACATTGGGCAGCTTATCGCGCTGAAGCCCAATCCACTCCAGCGGTGGGGTGGCCTCACCCATATCGCGGAGCTGCGGCGTCTCGATTACCGGTGGCTCCAGCGCAACATACGTGTACTTCGACTGTGGGACATTTACAACCGCTGTGATCTTTTCCTGTTGTTGATCCTTCTTGTCGCTGCCACCTTCATTCAATCCGCCCGTAATGCGCACCGCAGATGGCGGCAGGGGCTTTCCAAGCCTGGAGGTCAATGCCCGGGAGTGGGATTCCCACATATCTCGGATAAAACTAATGCGGGAGTAGTTCCACCCAACATCGACTTTCCCTTCAAACGTGCTGCGGAAGATATAGTCGATTTGCTGGGTGCCGGGGTTTTGCCAGGTTTCCATTTGTGCCACGAGCCGAGGGACCTTTAGTATTGTACCGCCGCTGGACGCCAGCACACGGTTTGCGATCTCACCGACAAGAAGCTGCTCAACCTCTGTAGGATCAGGCCGCACAATACCGGAGAGTGCGACACGTAACTGGCCAAGTGTAAGCCCCAGCGCACTGTGTATTTTACCTTCCTGTAGTGATACATCAAAGCGAGCCTGTGCATCGTGTGCATCCAGCCTCAGCACATGGTTATCGAAGAAGGAGCTTGGAAAGACACCTATATTGACAGATTTGATAGTGACTGCAACACCTGTCTGTAAGGAGATCGGTGCCTTTTCCTCCTTATCGTTTGCGTCCCTGGCCACATCCTTAGTTGGTAAATCAGCTTTACCAGCGAAAACCGATGACCTTCGCCGCATGTATCTTTCAACCTCACGCAGTGCAGCTTCGTACGACGTCTGTTTGTCTTGTACTAGTCGTTGCCAGGCCTGATATAATGCAACAGTCTGTGATGCAGTCAAGCTTGTACAGAAAACTTGTACTTGGTCGCCCTCCAGAATGCTGAAGAGCCGCTGGTGTCCGTTACCCGACGCACTGCAGACATTATACATCAAGAAGTCGAACATTGTGATATGGGCAATAAGGAAAGGCTGATAGTCAAAAGAGACCTTTGCTTGGAACAGGTTGAAGGATATCGACGCCTGAATGAGCGGTGTCTTATTATGAAAAGTGTCGTCCGGCCATTGAATTGATGTCTGCACTTTGAAAGTTTGGAGCTCAATCAGTCCGCTCATTCGGCCTTTGCTTTCTATTCCTGCTGCCTTGAAGCCAACACAGAGGGTCTGTTCTCGGTCAGACGTCTTCTTTGACGACAACCATAGATCATTGATGGCAAACTGGGCTTTCCCAAGGGATGAACCTAGATCAAGCTGAATTTCCAGCTTCTCAATTGCTATTGTCGTATTCCAGGGGAATACCGATGCCGATGCCACCTGTTGGTATCGCTGGACGATATATGCTTGTGTCTCGGCGGACTGTGACTGAAAAGCTGGCTTCGCTTCAACATTGTCAGCGGCCGGCAGCCATATTTCCCGGAAGAGTAGAAAATCCTGAACTTGTTTGGCATTGAGGGCTACCTGCATCGGACTTATCCGAAGAACAGCCGATATGCCTTTTGAATTGCCGAGGTGTTTGCTATTCATGAGAGACATAACCATTGAGTTCACTTCAAAACTCGCGGTCGATTCATTGGAGTACACATGCTTCACTGAAGCTTCTAGGGAATTGAAAGCCACGAGAAGTGCTAAGAATCGCCCATAGTCATCAGATTGCACCGTATTGATCGTTACATAAACGGTATCAAAACTTGCGGTGGCTGCAACTCTAGCGATAGGTTGGCAGCTCAAGCTGAACTCTTGCTTGCAGATCAGGAGGCCAACGTTTAATTTACACCTCCCTAAGATAGAGTTCTTAACATCCATGTCGAGAGGGGCCTCCTGCATCAATTTCTGCGGCTGCAGCATCATTGCGCTAGACGGCCTTCTGGGCTTTTCTTCGCCTCCCATGACTTCTTTGACGGTATCAGTCATTTGCTTTAGTAATGGGACGAGGCTTGGATATAGGACATTCGTAGAAGCATCGACCTTTAACTCTGCATTAAGTCGTGGGTCGTCTTGGCCATTGTCCTCGAACTGTACCTTCAATGCCACCCCAGGAGCCCTGAATGCTGCAGTGGCTACCGCATCTCCTTGGATGTATTGACCGTATTTTGCCTCAGACAGTCTCCTTCCTTTCAGAGTAGCTGTCAGTAGAGTCTGCTGAT